GTACTCAGCAACAACTAAAACATCAGTGTGTTATCAACAGTGTTCTCATCTTAAATCCAAAACACAGCACTATGTCAGTTACTAGGAAGAAAATCAACTCTATCCCAGCCGAAACCAGGACATGTACTTATCTACAACTACACTCTCTAACCACCCTCTCTCAACTGCTCACTGCAACACAGCAGGATCTTTTATGCTTACATTTCCCTGGCCATAACATGGACTGGAAAATCCCCCTGGGCATGGCATGCAGTCCGGACCAAAGAAACCTTTGCAGCATCCAGGTTTCTGAAACAAAAGCAAAATTGGTAAGGTATGACATGTCTTAACAAGAATTGCGTGGAGTCATCTGGCCCTCATAATTCTGAAATCTTGGTCCTCCTCTCTGCCTTAGACTGAAATGGACTGTCTCATTTAGCATCTGTGTTTCTAGGAGCTCCTGCACTTACATTGCTTTTCAACAATACCCCTCTTTCTGCTCACAGCCTATTCTTCTCAGGAATAAATCACTATTTTCTGCTCTCTTTCTGTCTTCAACAAATAGTGTCCATGTTTTCTATGAGCTTTTATTTCTTTAATAGTGCTGGCCCACTCACTCCAACTTTATCCTTGCTGAGGACTGCATGCCTTTGGAGGGATGTAGCAGTCCTGGATTGCAGGCCTTGTCACAACTGGCCAATGAAAGAACAATCACAAGACAAACAATCAGCAGTATTTAATGAGATACCCACGAATCATTCCATACAGTTGGCACTGTGAGAGCTGCAGACAAACGTGAGGTCCATAAAGTCACTAAGAGTGACTTTCCCAAACCATCTGACAATGTTTCATAAACAGGATTCAATCACTTCACAGCTTACAGCACTTTCCCTGTGCTCAGCTTCTTTTGGGAGAAATGCTAAAACCAGGGCACTCTCAGAGAAGACTTGCCACAGCTAACACTGCACCATTTGTTTCATGGCTTCCCCCAGCTTGGCAGGTAGCAACTGGCCTGCTTTATTTTATTTATTTATTGTACTCAGGTTTAACTGAGCTGCTTTCTAACATTTGCAGCAGGTTGGTACCCTGTGTTCTCTCTATTTGCCAAAGAAAAAGCAGGTAGCCGGTTCACCTGATGGTCCTGGGGACAGCCCTTTGCATGGGACAGCTTTCCTTTTGCTCCCATCCAGCCCTCTCCCACCTCAAGGAGTCAGACCTCTTCTTGATGAATGAGGAAGAGCAACACTGAACTCCTTTCAAAGGGAATTTGGTCTTCCATCACACTCACCGTGACGGTTTGATTGCAGTACCTGGCGCACCCCTTCTTCAGGACATTCAGGCCTTGTGGATCATGGATGTAGACACATTCTTTTGGGAAGAGTGTTTGTTCCTGTACAAACAAAACAAGTCATCAGCACTGTAACCTCCCCCTCCGCTCTTTTTGCTGCAGAGAGCAACTATGTCTATCTCTGAGCTGAGGAAATTCACAGAGGAGCCAGGGTGAACAAGATACCATTATGGCATGCCTATCATGAAAGAAGGTACATGGGGCCTTCCTCTTGCTCCTAGCAGTCCCCAAGCCTGAGCCAAGGTGCTGCCCTTTCATTCTAATAATAGTGTCTATGATAAGGGAGAGAGTGAGACTAGGGGGAGAGCGTAGGAGAGAGGGGGAGGAAGGGAGGGAGAGGAGACAAGAAGGGGGAGAGAAATAGGGGGTAAAAAGAAAGGAGGAAAAAGAAAGGAGGGGGAGGCAGGAGGGAGGGATAGTGGGGCAGAGAGGGAGTACGACAGAGAAGGAGGGATGGAGGGAGGGAGGGAGGAAAAAGACAGAGAGAGGTGAGACAGAGAGAGTGAGAGAGAGGGGAAAGGACTGCAAATAATTTTGGAACAATGCTCAGTGACCTGTCAGGGAGCTAGACACAGGCAGAATTGGGCCCCAAGATGATTCTGGCTTCACCTGCCTCAGTCAGAGAGGAAAATGAGTGACTAGTGTTTTTGCAGAGCTCTACTTCAGACATTCATGCTAAGGACCGCATCAGCAAGTTCTTCTGAAAGTCAGATCTCTCAGAAGACACCCAACAGTTAACAGTGGTGACCATCTCTCTGGTTGCCTTTCCTGCTCTCTATTTATTTGAAAGTGGCTTGGGTTAGAAACTGTCTGTCATTGTGCCTGTATGTCATCATGCAAAGAAGACATTACCGAAATAACCACAAATAGTTACCATTTCTCTGCTGCCAGGTGGGCAAACACTGTTGTTGAGGGCCTCACAATCCACACAAGAGCCCTGTTAAGAAAACAAGAGGGGAAAACTTAACCTTCTCAAAGGAACCCATTCCCCATGCCAAGAACACTACAGAGCTACTGCTCCCAGTATATATCCAAAACATCACAGCATCTATTAGAAACATTCCTAGGAGGCAGCTTCCACACTCTGAAATGGGGTAAGTTTATCACTTAAATAAAATTACTCTTTTTTCTTGAGCAGATACTTGCATCTGACTGCAAGATGGGGTCTGTCTCCACCCTGTGAGCCTATCAACCACCAGACACACAGCTGGAAAACACTTCAGGCATTCATGCAGCAGACCTCACTAAATCAGCAAGTTATGTGGACCCTCTGGCCACTTGAGATTAACTGTGTCTCTCCAAATCAGGTTCCTCTTGCCTATTCAGAGCCTCATTTTCTTTCTTCAGTAACCTACCAATGATCAAACTGGGGAGCAAGCACCTAAAATAAGGTATATAAAACTATTCAGGTGAGAATATCGCGCAGCATTTGTAGCTCCTGCTACTGAATGACTGCATGCTGTCCAGACTACAGGACACCAAAGCGCTTGTCAGCTGAGTTAGCAACTATGGTGTGAAGAAGGTCACATAAGGCCTTATGAAAAGGCAAATGTACTTCTGAATCAAAGGTAGGATGGGTACAAGGAAAGAACAACAACCTACAAGGAACATTTGCTGATTGCCAGCAAAGTAGTGCCAAGTGCTAGTAGAAGAAACACTGACGGTGCTCATACCGCCTAAGTTCACATCAGGGGGCCTCTCAGAGAGAACACATTTCCCAAATGCAATGTACACAGCCTGCTTTTGTCCCTCCGGGCAAGTGTGGGGTCTACAGCAACCACTAGTGTGAGAATGGGAGGAGCCGACTTACCATCACAATTTTATGTTGCTCTTCATTGCATCTGTGAGGCAAAATGGGAATTATTGAAGGCGGGATGAAGATGCCGTCCAAGGTATGAATAATACCATTTGATGCCACAATGTCTCGCATGTTCAAGGGGATCCCCGATTCACCCATCAGAATTCTTCCCTGATGCAGAAACACAAATAATTCATCTGCATTTTAGCCTGTTAGACTGTATCAACTACATAAAGCCAATGCAGGAAACATGGTACACAACATCAAGTGCAACCACACAAACGGTCAAGCCTCTTAGTGGAGTCACATGTTAGATAAGAAGCAAACTAATTCAATGACCTCATTTAAGTCTAGTTTTTTTAAGCAGAGGAGGAAGCAGAGATGGGCTGCACCCGCAATGTTCAGAACCACATCCAGACTTTCTCCTAGCACAGGAGGGTTTGCCCAAAAGGGTTTTGATCCACACTCACATCTGCACTGATGTTGATGGTAAGTATCTGGTTAGCCATAGTAACAATGTATGGCATCATTATCAGTTTCTCTACAGTCACCTGAAATAAAAACACAAGGAGACAGTACCATGAAAACGCAGGGTCATTTCAGTACATCTTACAGAAGAATCTTTCCATGATTCCTGTCACTTAAAAAGCATTCTAAAGGGGACCTGACTTTAACATTTACATTTCATGAAATACCTTAAACACAAACAATGGGTCAGAGGGAAATCCAGGACTTTGTGTGAAGCGTTTGCCAGTGGTGCTGGTGGCAGCAGCCTTGCTTTTCATTCCTTGTGTAAGTAACAGTCCAGCACAGCTGAAATCAAGTCTCACTAATAGTGTCTCTTACTAATAAAGCTGCAAGTAGGGTCAGACTAACAAGGCGATTTTCCAGGACATATTCAATCAACAATGAAAGTTCAGCCAAAAGCATAATAGAGAACATATTTTGACTTAATAAATAAGCTTATCTCTAAAGGCAGAAAAAATGTAAACTGCAGCTATTGTACTGAGAAACTTCAATGATTTGAGAAGTGAGAAGTTCTGAGAACCAAGACAATTGTTACTTTTGTGTCCGACAGGTTATTAAAAAGCAACTCAGCTTGTTACCATGTTGTTATTTATCCATTGCAAGCAAAACTATGTTTTGCTGTTTTGTCAAAGGGCTGCTCATTTTATCTATTGGGATTAGGAAAATCACAAGGACTGACATCTGCTTCTCAGTAAAGAATAGGAATAACATTTATATTTCTTAATGAAGGACATGACGTTGTACCATAATTCTTGAGTATTCACTTCCTCCACAGGTTTTGTGTCTAAATTTAAACATATGATTTCTCTTGTTTACTGTATAAGGGAAAATGTCTTGTTGATGCACTGTATTGATTTCATTTACCCTGCCATTATAGTACATAGCAATGTTGGTGCAAGAATTGGCAGTACTGGGTCAGATCACAAGCTCACTTGCACCAGTTCTCCATCTCTAACTTTAGCCACTGGTGGAGCCCAAGGAGACAGGAAAAGGAGCAGGGAGTTTGGACCAATTCTTCGATTGGCTATAACTTTTGTGTTGCTGCTATTAGTGTTTTAGGGAAACTGTAGGCTGGAGAGTTCATAATTAAGGTACACTCCTAATTAATAGTTTAACAGATTAAAATAATAACAAGGGAGCATTTGCCTGCAGCAAACTCTGCCGGACAATATTTTCATCGTAAAGGCAATCCAACTAAGGAGCACCATCACTCCCAAGAAACTCAGTTTCATGATGGAAAAGCACAAGCTGTCCCTTTTGGCAGCCACTTTCATGGTAAACATTTTGCCTCATCAGGTCTTGAATCACATCTCTGCTCCTCCAGGGGAAGTCCAAGAAGTAGCAGTTGAAGTCATCGACACTCCGAAGCTCTATGCCAAACAACACAGTTGGTAACATGCTGGCCCAAAGGACCCCAATTATCTGGAATTAGAGCTGCCTGCCTTACCGCTGCTGAAGTGTAGATATGATGTTTCACAAGTTCCTGAAGCTTATTTATTCCCTAAGGAAAGAAGCGAACATAAAAATTAGTTACTCCTTCAATGCTCAGGAGTAAGAGGAGGCAACTACATTTTCTTTTAACCAACAACTGACAATGCCAATGTACTATAGCAGTGAATTCGCTTGGCAAATTAAGTTCCTTCATTTTCCCCTACCCAAAGACGCAGTGAGGAAAGCAAGCCAAACATCAGATTTCAACAATCTGGTTAACCATATTTCTCATTGCAGGTTCCATTAGCATTCACTTCTCTCTCAAAGCCTTACAGAAACAGAGACATGGTTTAGCCATCTCCAGGAAGAACAGCTTTCAGCAATGATCAGATACATTCCGCAAGCCATTCCAGCACAGCCTAGTGCAACACAGTTAGCTCAGAGGATGTCTTAAAGTACTATGAGTACTCACCTCTGTGAAAAGATAAATGAGCCTTCCATCTCTCAAATTATCCACACCATCATTGCTGGGTACAAATACAGTAAAGGGGCCTGGCCCATCCAGTATTGCAGGAAGGCCACAGTTCTGCAAAAACAATAAAAGATTTCATCGTGCATCTAGCATGAATTAGTGTGTGTGTGGGGTCGATCAGGAAGGGAGAGGAAACTCTAAGCAACCCACTAGAGGCAGAGCTATTGAAAAGCAAATGTATACAAGAGGCAACTGCACACCAAGGATAGGTATGTAATATAAGAGAGGCATAAATGCCACAAAAACATAGCTTGGACAATGAAGACACTGGTGTGAATGCACCTAACATGAACAAGGGAGTACTGGGCTAATGCTCCCTGCATGCTTTAAACACACAAGTACATACACAGAGACTAAAACTGTACCTTTTTGCCTGAAGAGAAGAAAAAGAGAATCAAGTTTATAATCACAACTGTAGTTAGTGAATTTTGTAAACAACTAACAGCCACAGAGCTGAAAACAGACAGGCCAAGATTGTTGTGAGCAATGCTAGAGCAGGTCCAGATAATTCTGATGGAGGTAAAAGGAAAATCAGTCTGTCCCTAGTGAAAATACTAACTAAATGAATCCTGGGCAGCAGCCTCAAGAGTTTATAACCTGAGGACTGCTTTTATTTAGAGATCTGCACCCCAAAACCAGGTAGCTACAATTTAGCTTGGCATGGGCATTCATGAAACCTTCACTCTTTGTCCTGACAGTGGTCAAGAACTAAACATGCTTTGGAGAACAGACTCTCCAGGGGAGAGGGGAAGGGGAGGTGGGGAAGCAGATGGGAAAGAGGCATGTATGCTTGCTGCTTGTGCCAGATCCCCTATAGATGTGAAAACTCCGATCTTTTCCATTACATTTGCTTATGTAAAATACACAAAATAAGAAATGACACAGAATAAAGCTTCCAGAAAGAGCCAAACCACTTAGATGTATTTAAATGTTACTCAAAATTCCCACAAAAACAACAGCGGGCTTTGCAACAGCAGCAATGCCACACCTTCCTGGGACAGACACAAACACGCTTACCTCCAGTATAGTTTCAAATCTACTGAAAATCTCCATTGAAGCAAGGATCTCACCAATGGTTTTCTGCAAGAAGATACAAAAAGGAAAAAAATGGCTGGTGCTGAAGTGAGGTCTGAGTACATACTGGAATGCCCTTGGCCACTTTATGTTTGTGGTTTGTATGTAAAGATCTACAGGAGACCATCATCCTCAAAGTCTTCAAACCCTCTGTATTGGCCAGTTGACCTAGCAAGGACTGAGCCTGCAGTAACTTAGGCACATGCACAACAAACCAGATTTTGCAAGGTACCATGCACTTGAGCACCCTTCTGTTTTCCTACTCCCATCTGCAGATTAAATTAAATGAAGAGGCAATTGCTCACTATCATTAAAACTAGAGACACAGTACTTGAAGCAATATATAAATCAGTTCTGGGCTGATAGACAGTGGAGCTGCTCTGTAATCTCAAGCCTCCCTGTGCTTTGAGGATAAGAGCTCAGTCTGCCACCTGCAAATGAGCCCCAGTGCTGAGAAAATACAATACATATACATATTCCTGAAAACACAGAGGAAATGTGCCTGCCTTTTTGTCACGTTGCCCATGAAGACAAAGGTAACAGGAGGAGTGTCCCTTCAAGTATCATAACTTGTGAAGGGACTTGCCTGACCTGTATTTGCAGGAATCTGCATGGTTTTTTGGCAGAAAGTGCTTCCCGCAGAACACAAAGAGGCACAGAGCATGATTTCCAAGGGACACAGGTACAAAAGGATTTGATGCCAAGAATGGCTCATGTGATCACTAGCCTTCATTGCAAAGCCAACATCACAAGGGAAGGAAATGTCCAAAGGAGTCCAGAGAAAGACAAGCTCTGCAGGGAGCACTCCCACTGTCCTGCCATCCCAGAGTAGCTGCCAACCCTTCCCTGCAGGTACCTGAGCACACAAACACAGAGGTCCAGCTTTCCCTCTGGACCTCAGACACTCCTTTTTGGAAAACATCCTCATGCAGGTCATAAGACTGAGAGCATCTTAAGTGACAGCAGACTTAAACGTCAGTGGTGGGCACAATCAAATCCATATGACCACCCAGAACTTGTACAATTGATACACCATCCTCAGGGCACTTCAGCTGAAGAGCTACTAACACTCAACACAACATTCCAGCTGCTTTTTAAACACACAAAATACAACCATAGTATTACACAGTCTGACTGTTTTTATAGATTAAGTACAATGGTGTAAACTAAGTGCAAACTACTACCAAAATCCTACCACATACAAGAGCTTCTGTCATCCTATTAGTAATTTTTTTGCAAGGAGGTAGGAGGTAACAGGGCCTGCTTGCTGCATCTAGAAACAATATAAAAATACTCAGGCATAGCAATGTAGTAGCTATAGCAAAGCTTCTCCCAGCTAACAGGGAAAAGTGCTTAGCAGAACTTGAACCTGAAACCCCTGCCCAGTGTCTTAAATTCAAGACATGACTTCAAAATGCAAAAGTCTAGTGATTATTTGTCCTCATTTTACATATTTTTAATGCAAAGACAGCTTTTTGATTATAATTTCAAAATGCAGTACAGACCAATTAAAGAAAATCTTCATTTGATTTTTATGTGAAAAATGCTTTTTCAGTGTGTATCCTGTAAGATATGTATTCTGTAAGATACAACTGAAAAAGAGCTCATTTCCTATGAAGGGAGTGATCTTACTCATGAAAGCAGAACTCTCTACTCATCCAAGCACTGTAAAAGCATCATTGCGAGGTCTGTATCTGGCTTATGCACTGCTATTACCTACTTTTAATGGAATGCTGACATAATAGTGCCTAACAGGCCTTATCAGGAGCTGAAAACAAAGTAAATAGCCTTTTCCCTTTAAAAAAAGCCTCCCTGATTTGAAAGTTTAATGATGAAAACAGATTTTTTTAAAGTGTTTATTCTGCTTCATAAAAGAGAAAAAATATGAAAGTCTGTGTACCTGTGGGTTTCTGAGGTTGTCAGTGCTGGGTTTTTTCCTTAGGTTGTTAACAATATGCATGATGCCGTTGGCTGCTGGTAGGTTCAGTTGCAAAACATTGTACAGTTCCCCCGGCAGGTCTTGATATCGAAATGATTTGCTATACCTCTGGATAATAATAAAAGGTTAATTTTTGTGGTATATCTGTGGTATCACGATAGATCTGTAAATCATTGCTCCCTTCAGTGCTCTCCACCTACAGGTCAGCAAGTGATGAAGCCATAAGCAGAGTGAATCTGGAAAAAGTAAATATAAAGGGTGGTCTGGGTGTAAAACAAACATCCCACCTCTACTTGAGTTTGGATAATATTTTGATCCTGGGGGTACTTTTAACTCTTATTACAGAAAGAAGACCTAACCTTGGACAGTCAGCTCTAGAATTAAGTTTGTCTGAGTGTGAATGATGCTTGATCCCATCTCTGGATCACAAAAGGGTGCACTGACCATCAAGTAGCTGCTGCATCAGTCTGCTAAGTACAAGGAGAGAAGCACGGTGCAGAGAATTTGGAGGCAATCCTGGAACTACATCTTTGATTGCAACTTTCATTGGCTCATAATGCCAATGAGGAGTCTTCATAACAAAGCCAAACCAGTCAGGCTCATTGCAAGGGTAACCTACAAACTAAGCATCAAGGTATTGGTGCTGCAGCCATAATCCAAGTTCAGGCAAGCACAACTTCCCCGTGCTTTTCATTTCACCACGTGCCTTTCTTGAACTGCTCCTCCTTGCCCTGAACTTCAGTTCACATCATTAAGCATTCTGGCTGAAACAAAGGAAGGGGAGGGCAGACTTCCCAATCAAAAGACTCCTGAGTAAACAATCAGGAAAGAAATTTAAAAGGAGTATCAAAAAGCTCAGTACGGATTCCCGGGCTCCAAATAGTGCTTTGTCCTTTTGATGCATGCAGGGTGCATGTGTTACAACCTAGACCTCAAGGCCAAGGCTGGATCCTCAGAGAGGAAACATACGGCTCTCCCTTGGCCAGCTGTGAGCATGCATGCAGGAAAACTGCAGGATGGAGAGAGAACAGTAAATGCTGGAAAATATGAGTCAATTGAAAAAGGGAAAAGGGAAAAAAAGCCTTCCATATCAGAACATAATGACAAAAAACTCTTTGCTAGGACAACTAAGAAAACTAAAATAGAAAGAGGGGAAAAGGGAAACTGGAAGAGAAAATATTCAGCATGTGGCTGTGTCCAAGCACACAATCTCCAAGGAGAAGCATTCAGACTGGAGAGAGACTTTGCTGCCTCTTCCATGTCAGCCAAATGGATACTGTAGCTGCTAACGGGGTAGGGAAAAAGCCTCTTCTCCCGAATACATAAAACGACCAAGTAAAGACCATTCAAAAGTCAGATTCTGGCTAAATGGTTGTCTGCAAGGCAGGAGAAGTGGTTGCTTGGGGGTCTGGTCTTAAACCACCTTGCTTTGGACTCCACAAAGGAGCTTGTTCTGATCACAGGCAGGCTGATTAGAGAAAAAGGTTTTCTGGTTAAGAAAGTGCACCAAGGAAACTATGCTCAAGCTCCAGTTCGCCCTACATGAAAGCAGCAGTCCAGGACTTCAGTTCAGGATATACTTTACCTGGCTACTGAATGTTAGCTGATGTCCTGACAAGGTCCACATAGTCTTGGCTTTGACCATGTCTTCTACGAAATGCAGACCTGGAACAATGTGCATTCTGCACAAATGCTCAGCAGTGGTATCCTTTGGGGAATAAAGACCACATAAAGTAGATAAATGACATGTTCTTTCAAAAACCTCATTTACTGAAAGAGCCGTAACATTACCTGTCTCCTGGCTAACACACAGAGAAATTCCTAGCATACCAGACTGGGCTTCCCTCTTCATTTTGTCTCACTGGAGTAGCACTCTGGCAAATCTTTTGCTTCTGTTTGTGTACATATTCAAACACAGGGAGACTGAGTAACCTGCAAGTGACTTTAGAGGGATCCCCTAGACAGAAACCTATTGGACTTGGACACTTCAAAAACTATGCTGGCATGCTCCAGATTATAAATCTTGCTGAAGCTCCCCATACACAATCTTTGGTTATATTGGACCATGTAGCTGGACTAAGCTGCTGAATTTACTTTTAGTTTCTTCCTTTTTTTTCTGGGCTTTCCAGCACTGGCAGTTTTTTAAGACAATCCTCTGTTAATACTGATTTAGGTGGAACTGATCCTTGTTGGAACAGGTAGACTAGATAACTCAGGGGCCCTTCCTGATGTATTTTCTATGAATCCAGAAGCTACCATGATGACCTAGGCACAGGGCCTGCCTTGTGTTAGTGGAAACCTCTGCTCAACAAGGTAGCAGGAGACAGCTAATGTGCCTGGCATTTGTAGGTTAGCAGTTGCTCCCTAAACTCTATGTGAGTTACTGCTGCTGCATAGATAGCTTTGCTATCAAGCAAAGGAATGATATTTCTAAACCATTTGGAAATGTAATGTTCAAATGGGGTTGCTCTGTCTGGGTTATTTTTAAGACATTTACCTTCTCATATCCAAGTGCTAGATGCAAGCTAGCTGCCACCTGAAACACAACAGGCACCTTGCCTAATATGCAATTAAAATCCCTACTGCATGAGCTGCATTTGTAGCTCATGTGTGCTGATTTTTAGTTCTGTCCTGGGAAAATGACTTATATACCTTCTCATCCTAATGATGGATAGCCTGGTTGTGGGCTTAACTGTGCAAAAACTACTGCAAATTAACACAATTTAATTTAAAAAAAAAAAAAAAAATTACCTGCAGGACCTACTTGCTGAAGCCTAGAATTCTCAAACTCTTGTCCTGGCTCCCATAGCAGTTTTCTCCAGCCCTGCCATCCTTGCTGTCCCCATTAATAAAATATGCTCTTCTCAAGAAGTTGACACCATACCAACATCTAGGACCACAGGCCCAAAATCCAATACTTTGATGCAAAGCTCAGCCCCTTTTGAAAACCCCACCCTCAAGTAATGAAAAGACACCAGAAGTTTTGAGAACAGTCACACACAGGAGGTTTGAGCTTTAAATGGCCAGAAAAACTTACAATTCCTGACATTAAACCCAAACAAATTCTGTAAATATTAAAGAAAGAGAGAGAAGTTTTAAAAATAATGTGAGGGATGTAATATTCTCTATGAGACTGCAACTTAACCAGACAATGATGAGTCTTCCCAAAAGGTTGCTTCTATAAATACTGCCTTCCAAAGTTCCTGTCTCATGTGTCAATCAGTTTTTACAGGCTGCAGAACTCAGGCAGGAAAGAATCCTAAGACAGCAAAAATTCGCCCAAACCAAGAAAACTTACGTTAAATTCCATTCTATCATGAATCGGAAGAAGGGATGGTACAAAGACTGTGAAAGGCCCATATTTAGTCAGCAACACTGAGCAACCAGAAGCTGTAAAAACAGGGGCAACATGAAGTAGTTACTTGGCGTATGGTTTAACTCTAGCAATAATTATTCCTCTTGTTAACAGCACAATTCAATCTACACATTTTCAGCCTGATGCAAGTAACTAGTACTTGTTTACAAGGAACCAGAGGGAGTTTGGTATTGCTATCACAGCTCAGCTTGGTTGCTATTAGTTTTAAGCACTTGCCCACAAGATTTCTGAAGGATTGCTGGTGACTTTGGTCTACTTCGAATCACTGCTGAAATTTGCAGAATATTCATAATCATTTTGTTCCCACATGCTTACTACCCTATTCTTGGGCCAAGTGTCCTCTTGTCTTCCCCTTGAAACAAATAATTTTTGGGTGTCATCAGGATTTATTGGGACTAAATACTTCTTAAGAAGCTGCCATGAACCCACAGTTGTCAGTCTTCACCCAATTGTCAATGGCCCATCAACAAAGGTCATTAGATATTAAGTCCCACTGCACCGGAGTTAGGAACCCAGAGATGTTCATGCAGTTGCCCATAGCACAAATGATTATGGAAAACATATGCAAAAAATAAGTGTTGGCACCACTGATATGTAGCAGGGAGGGGTATTCACAAAAGCTAAACTGAGCTTTGACCCCTATCTCTATGCTTCTGTTAAGTTAGTGGAGATAGAGAAGACTGTCCAGAGGATCAGTTGGAGAAGGTATCTAACATAAATATGCTTTGACATGAGCTAAAGGGTTCTCATTCTTTCCTTGGATTACAGTGAGGCAAAAACTAACCTTTGCGGATATCACTCCCCACACTTGCAGTATACAGGTTCTAAACCAGTCTTCTATGCTTTGCAAAGCAATTCCTCTCTCAAAGTACCATGGTGCATGAGATAAAGCCTTTTCATCTCTGTAATAGCCACTCGCACGTGCTGGCAAGGAAGCTGCTTAAGGCTTAGTAGATGTTCTACTAAGTAGAGGACCCATGGCACACCAGCCTTAAGCATCACTGCTAGAAAACTCAGCAACAGCTGAAAGATTGCTGAGCCTTCAACATAGATGCTGCAGGTGGAGGCACACTGGTGGTTGGATACAAATGGGTTTTAATCACACCTCCAAGGCACATTTTTCTTCTTCTGCAGATATGGTACGTCCTTTACCAGGACTGTCAAATACTTAATACTCATCCACAGTGCGCTCTGCAACAGTCTCCTCAATTCACAATCCAGAACTGGTAATATGAGTTCAGAGATGTGATGTGTTTAATTTTGCAGCCCATGGTCATACACTGTGAAATAGATTTATTATGCCGAAAGACTTTCGGCCTTTTCTGACACACTCTTGTCCCCATGTTTGCTCCATTACTCAAACAAATTCAAAAGACATTTACCAAACATTTTCCTGGCGACGTTCAATTTCTTAGCAAACCTTCCTCGTGAATTATGCTGATTTATCTCACTCAAGAGATCTTTATAGCAACTTCTCCCATCTCCAATCTCCCCTTCTTTACACACACAGCTAAGAGACAAGAATGAAACATAACAAACCATTATAAAACAGTTTGCAACACATTCAACAAATGTGAGTAGAACAAGATGTCAGTATCTACACTTGAAAGACAAATCCCAGCTTTAAGGTGTAGGTAAGAGCTTAGTAACTTCTGCCTAAACTAAATGACAGGAAGAAAGATGCATACTTCTGGAGTGCAAGAAAATTTGGACCTACCCAAAGAGAATGAAGATGCTTTCTCAGATACCATCAACATAAGGATTGTCTGCTCTAGAGTTCAGGGTACAGATGGCCACAATATATTTATCGACACCTTTCTAACTAGATATTCAGTCACTACCAGTTATTACAGCATCTGAAAATTTGAGGTAATGCATAAAAACCACAGGCTAAGTGAAAATCTAGCAAACAGCTCCTATGTGACCCCTCAGCTTCAGTGAGAAGTGCCAGCTCAAGCACATCAGTTAGCTACAGTTCATCTTAAGGCTTAATGAGGGCCCCAGACAGGCTAATGACTTTTCCAGAAAAGCTTATCTACATGTGAAAATCTCTGTCCTGATTCACACGGATTTATAGTCATTACTCAGAGACTACTTAAGATCACTGGCCGATAACCATGTTTTTTCCCGTTTGGGTTTTGTCCAAGTATCGGCTCTGCTCTTTCTGTTTCAGGGATGCAAAGACATGCAGCACGGGAGGAATTTGACATTACTCCAGCCTCAGAGGGCTGAGTGCCAGCTGCTGGAGAACAGATATGCTAAGGCAGGGACTGTGCTGAACACTGCGTCCTGCACTTTCCTAGCACATCTTCACAAAGGGAAGTCACTGTGTTTCAGCTCTGGCCTGGAGCACACAATGAGCAGGTGGATGCTAACAGTTTTAGCAGCAATGGAGAAGGAAGAGTCAAGGAGATGGGACTGCTCTTTCCCTCTTCAGTCTCTCAGAGAAGTTCCACCTTTTCTTGGTAATACACAAAATCCTTGGTGAAGCTTTCCTGGTGTTTGGGAGGCCATTATGCAAAAATGGTCCTAGATCTGGCAATATTTCCCATCTAAGGGGTATCAACTCCTAGGTGTTTTGCTCCAGAGGACTAAATAAAGTCTGGTGTTTCTTGCCTCAACTTTCCCCTTCCCTGTCAATCTGCAGCTTTAATTAATTTCTTGCTTACAGGCCTGAGTGGGAGGGGAGCAAAAGACAGCCCTCAATCAAATGTGGGCAAATGTGAGCAAACAAGAGTCACACATCTCCCTTTTAATGACTGATTATTAACTGATAATACCCTACTACTACCACCAACTCGGGGAGCTACATCTCCACATCACAGAAGACTCTACTGCTCTAGATTTACAGCATATCATGACCCACATGCTAAAGTTTACAATGACTGATGTAAAACTCTTTCAATGGGCTTGTTACAAACAGGCTCTTCTCAAAAGGTGACTCTGGCCCATTCTCCTTAGTTAGCTCTCAGTTTCTTCAAAATACAGCTCATCCAAACTCAGTTTCCATTCTAGCCACGGAATAAGCTTCTTTAATAGCAATCTTTAAACTAGGCTTACCTAGGATTCCCCTGGGAATTAATTTCACACGTGGAAGTCACGTCACAAAAATACTTCTGGCAGTTGTTGGGAAGTACAGAACACTCAGACGAAGGACCTCTCCTACTCATCCCAGGCTTGCAAACACAAGATGCCTAAGGGAAGGCAACACAGTGATTATAGATCTGCATTCATCATCTTTTACCCAACAAGTTACTCCACAAAAGAGCTGTGTGGTTTCCCTTTGCAAAATCTAAGGTGAGGGGAGCAGATTTGATGAACACAATGGTGAGCTCATTTGAAGAACTTCTCACCTGGCCATTTTTCAGACCTTTACAGCTGACATGCTGTTATTGCCCTTACCTCTCCTGGACGTCTGTAAACACAAATCGTAGAGTTTTCTGGGCAGCCTCCATTGCTGTCAACACAAGGGTTTATGGGCTGGCAAATCTTCCCATCTCCTTGAAATCCTTCTTTGCAGGTACATTGATACGTTCGTGGTCCAAGAACCTTACATACAGCAAAGGGGGAGCATGGAGAAGCATCGCAAGGATCCTGAGCTGCAATTAAAGAGAGGTAAAAGTAACCAAATTTCTGTTTTCAAAACAGCACTTACTGCAGCACAGCAGAATGCAAAAGGCCTGGAAAAATGGAGTATAAGGAATTTATACTATTAAACTTCTAAAATTTCCCAGGAAAATGAAATCATTTCAGACAGCAGATGTTTTGGGCTTTTTAATCTGAGGAATCTGGATGACACATTCTTCATGTTACTTCAGTAACAGAAGTGTGTGACAGGATGCTTCGATTTACTTCTGAATTTCCATATCTGAGGATATATGAAACTGCAGTTTGGTCAGCAAAAACTGCAAAAAGCCAATGAAAATAGAGCTATACATAGATAGCTAAACACATGCGTGTTACTGACTTTCTTTTAACAAAACCTATTCACAAACTTAAATTTGAAATCAGTGAAGAAATCCTCCGATTACACACCTTATTATTTCAACTGGTACAGATTCACCAATATCCTGTTGTCAAGGTTATTCAGTACATATAAGGAAGTGCTGCTGGATGGAACCTGCAACTCCAATTCATTTCTTGCTTTCAGGACCAAGTGAGAGGAGAGCCAAAAACTTAGCCCTTAATCTTAAAGGGATTCCTAAAACACAGGTCCTTAAGCCTCTGCAGTAAAGCAGGTATTGTATTCACAGTGATCAAATTCATCTGGAGATACCAGTGAAATTAGATTTTTCCAAACAGGGGCCCATTTAGGGTCACAGAGAAGTTTCTCACCTTGGCAAGTGCTCCCACTTTTTCTGTAGCCCAGCTTGCAGTCACACATTGCTGTCCCATCCCTTACCACACATTCACTGTTGGCCTTGCATGTCATGCCTTTGCAAAGGGGAAGCTCTGGAATCACACAGCAAAGAGAGTTTCCCTTTAGGCATGCAGAGCACTGCTGGAAGATACAACTTACCTTACAAAATATCTGGAAATGAAGACAAATGTGGTTTCCAGAGGCCCCCAAGTTGGCACAAAAGCCAGGGGATATAAGCAGTGCAGACAGCTCTAAATCACTGGCAGCCTAGGTAGTCAGGTTCCACAGACTTAGAGAGAAGAAAGGATCTATCTGGTTTCCAGAGAAAGAACAGAGGCACAAAGAGATGGTAGATCTTGGCCACTGTCACAGAGTGGAGAGCAGACCCCAGCTTTTCCCTCTGTCTACATCTCCAGTGCTCAGATCATCTTCCCTCTAACATTCCCAAGATATTCATTGCCCCCCAGCTCCTTTTGGGACACATGCATCCAAGCCCATATCATAGTTTAGCTCTACCAGGCCCTCTGCAGCTACCAATGTATTTACCTTGGTCACACCTGGGGCCAGTGTAGCCTCCATAGCACGTGCAGCTTCCATTCCCAGTGACACCGCTGTTGCATTCCCCGTGCACACAGTCACACACTGCAAGGGAAGTTCAGACAAACCTGACCTTCAGCTACAAGGCAGTGCACAGGGCTCCAGGCATACATTGGCCAACTGCCTGGGGACTTGGCTGGTTTCCCACCAATAATCCACAGCAAATGTAGCTCCTTTTAAAAATAGGCCATGCCAATCAGAGCTTACACATGGCAAACTGCATGTCCTGGGCTCAAGAAGACAAAGTACTGCCCTGTAAGAGCAGCCTTGAACACAAGATCTGGACCAGCTTTTCAGGCACGTGTTTTAACTTCCCACTCCTCTAAGTCTCCTGCAGCCCATGTGGGAGGAGGCAGTGTTATGAGAGCCTACCACATCTGTGATCCCAGCATTGGTGCTTTTGTGTGAGCACAACCACCCAGATCACGCCTATCTCACCTGTGTGGATACAAGGGAACCAGAAGCTAGACGAAAAGGGCTCATTTAGCAGCCAGACTGCACTGGTTATAAATAGCTTCCAAAAATGCCATACATGAGAAGCAGCACTGTGTGTATTAATTTTGTAGGAAGGGCAACAAGAAAGGAGCTGGGAGACAAGTGGGGCAGTTACAGGAGTTTGGAAAACAGTTGGGAAGTGAGTGTGGGTTGCATCAGGGATGTAGGTAACAGACTGGCAAAAACAGAGAGGAAACTGGGATAGCCCTGGTAAAAGGAGAGAGAGATTTTTTTCCCATTGAAAAAATGGACTGATTTGGGTGAAAGTCTGAGAGTCATTTGCCTAATGGGACAGTGGAGAAGGGCACAAAGACAAAATGCCAAGACACCTGCTATTGAACACTGCCAGTCGTCATTCCCTCCTACTCTCCAGCACCCGTCCTCACTCAGCCTCCGCTTCCTCCTTCCTTGCTCTCAGTTATTTTTGTGGAGGTTTCACTTGAATTACTCATTCTTACCTGACTGGCAGTCTGGGCCAAAACGATTTTCATCTCGACAATTCTGGCAGGCAAAACCACTGTATTGCTCCTAGAAGGCCCCAAAATGTCCCAGATGTTATTTTTCTGTATCATTGCATTGTTCCACACATTGTCATAGTTCAAAGTCTCTCCCCATTTCTGATTTTCTGTGACAGCTGAAGCACTACAGTGAAGAAAACTGATCTGTTCAGTGCTGTAGTAGTATTAACCAGCCCCCATTGCAAAGAAGATCACAGTATAAGCTGACACACAGAGGGCATGCAAAACACCAGCAAAACTCTAGTGGGCACTGAGGAAACAATGTGCTGATCACAAACAGACAGGAATGTACCAGCCAGTACTGGTATCTCTCTGAAAAAGGAATTTGGAATTCACTAATGCCAATGGGACTTTTGACATTGATTTTACAGGGTTTGGGGACCTTCAGCATATATTTTAATTGATACAAGGTGTCTTTGAGTTAAATCCAAAATCAACTTTTCTCAAAGCAGGGGCCAAGAGGTAGGATTGTTTAGCTCATAATGCTATTAATTAAGGATGCTGTAAAAACATACAGTTCATAAGAGAAAGTTTCAAGTCTGACACTGATCCATTAAGCCAAAAATTTTAGAAACACTGCTCTATACAATTCAAATGTCCAGGAATTTTTTATGCTTTTGTTGTACTAAGTCTGGAGCTATAAAGAAAAAAATAAACATCTGTCCTAAATTCTCTTTCTGGTCTCTCCCGCTTTTCCTGAGAAAGGGAGGATCTGCCTGCCAAGGTGCAGCACCAATTCATTTGGGAAGTATATCATCCAAGTCTGGAAAAGGTGCATCTCATTAAGAGCCAAGTATCTCAGGGCTTCTTGCAACCACAGACAGACAGTGATTATTTCAACTGATCAGAGGGTTGAATCAATGCAATTCTTTCTTCTGTTCTCCCTAGAGTTCCTTCCCAATTCCATACCCTCACCAACAGTGTCTTAGTGCTATTGCAGACCACACCAACCCTCCAGGAAAACCACAGACGCTGATGCTGGAATGAAAGAAACTGCTAATGACCTTTCAGGCAGAAGGGCAGCCTTCATCCAAAACATCTGCACAGATGCTATACAACTCCCTCTTACAAAAACACATCACCCTCATAATAAATCATGCACTGACCTTGCAGATGCAGGTCCCATTTTGCTCCATACCATCCAAGCATGTCCCATGGCCATTGCAGGGATTCTGAGAGCCACCTGGACACTCTAGCAGGCAAGAGACAGGCCAGACAAGATTAGATCGAACAACCAGCACTGTATCCCCCTTTCTATCTCTCCTTCCCCCAGGCACTCCAGTTGTGCAAAAGCAATGGCCTCTTCACCAGCAAAGTCCCCACCTGCTTATCCAATACACCTAACACTGGCCCAGAGCTGGTGAATATGGCCAGGAGTGGCACCAAGGAGCAATTTGACTGCTATCTAAGAAAAGCCTGTTATTAAAAGTCTAAGGAAAAGTCCCAATGGACTATAACTAACTAAATTTCAGCAGAGACACTGAAACATGTTTTGAGGTTGAGCCACTGCTGCTAGCATCAGCAAGAGTCATATCAAACATCTGAGGGCAGTTCTGAAACTCAAGGACAGACAGGAGCCTGCTCTGCAAAGATACTGAGCATTTTCAGCTTTCCCTGACTTCATGAAGAGCTGGGAATGTGCTTAGACAAACATGGTCCAGACATCTTTGGAGTGGGGTACCTCCAAATTCTGGGGACTATTTCTGAAAATTTAAGACATGTGATTCCTCTGATGAAGACAATTGCTTATTCAAACCACTTCTGTGTGAAATCAGGCTCAAGCTCTCAAATGACCTCCCATTTTCTGCAGGGCTGGAGAGTGTCTTTCTATATTCCAGCAATCAGTCAATCATATGAGAAGTGTTTAGCTTAGTAGGTCTTGATTTTGGATTTCTGAGACAAGACAAAACAAATTGTCTTTACTTGGCATAAACCTGAGTGGGAGCTTTGGGATGGTTATTTCACCTTGGGTTGGAATTGCTAAGTATTTTCTGTGGCTGAATGGCTGACTAACTCCAGGCTATACAGGAGCACACGTGGCACACACACTGCAGACTAGAGGGACATCAGAAAGAAATACCTTCCTCTTCCTCTGGAAACTTTGTTAAAGAGGAACAAAAACATCCCTTTCCAAAAGCTTATTTTTAAAGAAGAGACAAAAGGAAGTTCCACCAAAGGAGGTTATGTTATGTGTTAAATGTAAGAGAATTCAATGTATCTGAAGCAAAGAGATTCCTTTCCCATTATATTCTGAACCTCCCAGACAGATAACAGACGTTTTGTGAGTGTTCGAGGAATAATGAAAATTAATCACCTCAATGCATATTTAATGCCTCCTGTTAAAACTGGTTTGAGTTATTCAACAGCTAGAGAGTGTTGTAAAAAGATTAAAAACTTACCATAGCACTCCGTACCCCAGAATCCTGGGCAGCACTTTTTCTCCTCAATTTCCTTCTTACATATGTGATGGCACCCTGGCTGGGAAAGGGTATTTTCTCCTAACTTGACAGTGTATCTTAAAAAGAACAATCCAAGATTCATGATTACAACACAAACTTACCACATGCTTGTTGGAGGGTTTCTAAGCAATCACACTGCAGTGCACTGAACTCTGAATGGAAGGAAGGGCACTCATTTGCTTCGCCATACATGCATGCAAGAGTTTGCACTTGGGTTATGTCTTCACTAAGAGTGTCCATTGATTTGAGCCTCAAAGATTGGTTACAAGAAATCTGCCATGGACTGGGTATAAGACAGGACCCTGGGCAGTCCAAGAGCATCAGGACAGAAACCTTGGATGCTCGAGGGTTAGACAGCATAGAAACAAAATTAGGATCTCCAGGGTGACTCAACATTAGACTTCGTCCTTAAATAACCTTGAAAGAACAAAGTCTTCTTGTAGGACTTGTCCCTTTCGTCTTACCCTAAAGATTCCAGATTGGGATGCTGGAAATTTGGATCTGATTGCTGTTTTATTCACAGATTCTCTATGCAACCTTGGACAAACCCCTTAAATCCCCAAAAGAAGCATCTTCTTTTCAACCCTTCATCCGTCACCTCTACACACAGGGTAAGCCCTTGATGGCAGTCTCTTGTTCTGCACGTATGCAGTACAGAACTATTCTTGGGTCTGTCCAACAACCACCACAAGAGCACACAACACTTAGAAAAGCTGCATACAGTCACATTATTCTTACGCTTCATTTTATTTTTGGCACAACATCCTTCCCAAAAGGAACTTGGAAATTGTCTCAATAGCACTCCCGCTTTGGCTTCAATCTGACTCCTGTGTGTGCCTGTGCAAAAACTGCTATAAACCGCAAAACTGCTACAGCTATTTTTAAAGTATTTCGACAGAATAGTGAATCACAGAAAACAGTAGACAATGGAGCTATATATTAACTGTTAATATTCACTACTGAATAGATACACAAACAATAATCTATAGTGTTTCATTTTTTAAAAACTTCCTGGTAAATTCAGTTTCCCTTCACCTTTTTCCTATTAGAGCCAAGCTCAACAGAATAAGAGCAAGAAACATATGAACAAGCAATTGTCATAAAGCAAAATAGGAAGGTAAAAAGTTCAGAGGATTATTGCTGCAAGCTGGGAGGATATACAAGGGGGATGATCATTGTATTATTTTCTTAATAATCCGCGACAGGATTCTGGGTCTGAAACAGGTTTCTATGCTAGACAAACCTCTGTTAAGTTGCTATAGCAGGATTAGCAAACTCAGGCTGTTTAAGGCAAGTTAGAGGTAATTATCATGTAATATGTTCTGTGTATATAGAACCTCATGCCCAGCACAAAGTCCATGGGATTTGCAAGGAGACAAAAGCAACAATAATAGGTGCCATAAATCCATTTTTATGCATCTGAAAACAAAACTCCTTGGATCTTTACAGCTCAGAAAACACACGTGTGCCCTCTTGAAGGCATAGACACTACTCCTTGCATAGTAGGGCTACACCAAAACCTTAACATGGTTAGAAAATAGGCCTTACCTGCAGTCCCTCACTCCTAATCCTTGGGTGGTCCTTAACCAGCCTCTTGGACACAACATTTTAGGCATTGCAGCACACGCAGTACACGCTGTATTCAAGGTAAACGTCGTCTTGATATTGCATCGCATGGATTTTAACTTAAAAAGAAAAAACAGAATGGAAATAAGCCCAAAATTAAATCGTTACCCTAGCCACTCATCTTGCCAACCTTTAATATTTTTATCAACATTGCACCATTCTTTAGATACCACCGGGGAGAGCAATGACCAGTGCAGCTGCTGGAAGGTACACCACACACTCAGACAGGCTAAACCATCACGCCATGCTGCTGCATGCTACTCCACTTGGATCTCAGCTAGAAGGCAATAGGGCAGATCACAGCTATCTTATCTTTCCCCTATGTCTCACAGCAAAAATTCTAACCATTTCTAAAATAATCATAACCGTGCACTGTTAACTTAAGCTGATCTTTTGCAAACATGTGATAGTGGTATGTGAGGACAAGCCCTAAATTAATAATGCTTGCCAGAAGACACTGAATTAAAATACAACACAGCATTTCTGTTTTCCATGCCATTGACACGATCCAGTTCACTGGTGGTTTCATTGCTGTTTCACGGGTCTGAAGAACCGAATGCATTACATTAGTTCAGACTATTTCCCAGAGCCCAGGAGCTGCTCACACAAATATTTCTCATGGCAATTGTCTTCGAAGGTGTGGGGACAGGGGGGTGGATTAAAAGGAAAGGTGCTCTGCACCTCTCTGACCACCTGAATGGCCCCTGATGCTTTGACCCCACATGAGAAGGACCCCATAAACACTGGCAAGAAGGTCAGGTAGGAGACTTGGATAATTCACATGGCTGGTGATAAATTCAGCATGAGTCCTTCCACCCAACCAGAATAACTTCAGGGATTCAGGCTTCCTCAGAGGGCTTTTCTGTACGCCTGTACCCACCAACTCTGCTTCTCCAAATGAAACACAGCCAGAGGAGATGAAAAACGTACAGCCTCAGAGCAAATAATCATCATCATATGCCAGCTTGTCATTAAAGCTCATGATTTTTCCCCAAAAGGGTTTCCTCGTATTCCTCATCTCCTGGAGTCGAGCCACTGCGTGGAAACCTCATTGCTCATTTTAAAAAGAAACAATGTTTGCCACTGACAGTGGCAGAGAAAAGCTGGGAGGCACAAGCTGTGTTTGCCCCAAAAGGTCACAGACTGGAAAAAAAACAAAAACCCACAGCTCACCTCAGCTGTGCCTCTACAGGCACTATATTTTCTAATAATAAAAACATTAGAGTGAATTTTGGGAGGCGGCCTTGATCTGGGACTTTTTAAGCCAATCCTGAAGAATGCTGTTAATGCAGCAGCTCTCCTGTGTCCAGAACTCCCTGTTTTGGATTCCCATCAGCAATCTCAGCTTTGCTTCCTCTGAACTTATACCCAAATGCATACATTTGCATCAAGGCAAGGGAGGAAGCCTGTGGCTTCCCATCAGTTATCAACAGCTCAGGAAGGCCCTCCCAGATGACAGCCAGCAGACCCTGTCAGGAAAACCTCCTGAGAGATAACCCTCAAGTCCCAGGTCCGCAGGGACATCTCCCTGGAATGGTTTCCTGACTCACACCCATGTTCCCTCTGCCTGGAGTTCTTGACCTTTTTCTCATCTTCATGGATCCATCTTCTGCAGCCATCCATGCAACAATGCTGCCAAATGAAGAAAGTGATTCCTTTGTCTGTGGTGGTCCCTCACATAGATATTAATTTCTAGTTGTGCATCCGGGGCTTTCCTTACCGTACAGTAACTTCCACTTTCTTTAGTGGCAGAATCCCCAAGGAACCTGTTATATCAAGGACTCTCTTCCTTGCATTATAAACGTCTCAAAACCAATCTGACATCCACCAAATCTACCTATCCCTGTCCTGTGAGCACCAGCTTTACTAATTTTATCCAGCAGGGCAGAGATCAGCTTTGCTGTTCCTTACATTTCCACACCACTGGCACACAGTGCAGTCAGAGGAGATTTTCCCTTTTTCATGGAGCAAAACAGAGAAGACAGCCAATATGGATGGATAAATGAGGTGCTACCTCCAGAATACTCTGTCTCAAAAGATCAGCAGTGCCATTGATGGGGTAAGGAAGAAGCCCATCCAACCAGCTGATTCAAGTACAAATTAGGGCTCCAGATTAAAGTTCGCCTTTTGAAAGGAGCCAGTTGAAACCAGGCATCCGGTTCTGACAAAACGGTACATCTCCTGCCTTCCTAGTCTGATCAAATCCCAGCTTTTACCTTCACTGAGACAATGCCTCAGGAAGAGGAATGGGAAGATACCCAAGGAAAAAACACAGAGGAGGACAGCTTCCCATGAGTTATGATGTTAACGTCAGAATTACTCCACAAACCTTTATCAGGCATCTGAGCCACCTTATCTGTATGAAAAAGACCACACAAACAGCAGAGCACAAAACACTAAATTAAAAACTCTCCAATCTTCTATTTTATCTTTACTTCCAGGCATCAGGAACTGGCTGCCAGACATAGTTGGGTCATTAAATGTGTTCTCTGTCGTGGTCGTGGAGGAAGACACCATTATTCACACATTATTCCATTTTCCTTCTCTTTCCTTTACCAATGTGGCTCCATTTCTAAATGGAGATGGACACTGGGAGAGGAAAAGGGCTGTCACTCCTCCCTGTATGCATCTTTAATTACTTGCAGGCCTCTAAGACAAGACAGTTTTTGTGGAATCCCCCCTACCCTACCTTCCCGGGACACTTCATGAGCTTTAGGCAGCCTTCCAGTAAGATCTTCCCCTTTTTATAAGGAAATATGCTTGTGTCAGCAACAACAGGCAGGAGGAAAGAGGAAGAAAACAGCTGTGTGGAAAATAATAAAAAAAAATATTTCCCTTCTTATTTGAGTGACAGAACTGATGAAGCAGTCATTTTCTGGAGTGTTTTGCTTCTTAGGAAAGCAGAAGAGGGAATCAAGGGACATAAATGCAACAGTTTGGATAGCTGAATTTTGGAGAGGGTGAAAGGTAGACAGGAGTTTGAGTCAGAGGTGACTCCTGGGGCACAGCCTAATGGAAAACAATGATGAGCTGCTCCCTTGTGCTCATCTGTGACTGTTGTTTCTAAGTCTGAAGATGCTGGAGAGGAAGCAGTGAGAGGGAATGTCATGCAGCAATGCTGCCTGGTGGGCCCAGAGTCAGTGAGCTGCACGGTGGCTACACCAGGGAAAGGGGGTGAAAACAGTCACTGTTCTGATCAGATGATATCATGACCCTGGACCATATCACACTCAGGTACAAGGCAACAGAAAACGAAGACTGGTGCGCTCAAACAGCTCCAAAATTTAAGGAGGCTTTTAAAGCAGAAGACATCTAGCTGTAGCTGAAAGAAGTTAAGAGCCAGGGTGCCTCTGTCCAAACTGAGCTCTGTCTTGCCAGGGTTGGACTGTGCTCTCTCCCTGCACTCAAACACATGCATGTGCACGAGCAGCTGCTGCCCTCTGTACTTAGCTGCAACATATCTGAGCTTCTGGATGCTGCAAGGTTTCTTTCCCTCCTCTCACTCCAACACAGATGTCCCTTACTTCTCAAGTGCTCATGTTTCTCTTATTCCACTTCAAGAGAATAAGCTGGGGAGTTTTTTTAAGGGCTAGTTTCATTCCCTTCATTTTCTCCCTTTATCTTTTCCTCCCAAACAGTTAACACAAATCCTTCTGTACAGCAAAACCTCAAGGAAGAAAGAAAAACACATTTGGATGTCAGTGTTCGGCTCCAACAATCCTGGGAGACAGTTCTGGAAACAGACATTATCTAATGAATTACCAAGTTTCCAGTGCATTTGCCCTTTACAAAACAGAGCCGTAGACACATGCTTGAGTCATTACAGTCATGTAGCTCCCCAAGAAGTTCTCAATAACACTTTAGCTGAACAGCCCAGTGGTTCCTGGACACACAAACCCTTTGCATTTGTCCAAGGAAGACACTTTTCAGCACGAGGATGAACAATCAAGCTCAGAGATCACATAACACAAGATCTACTGTTGCCCTGGGTGTTTCCCACCATCTCAGCTGCAGAGCACTGGATGCAGAGAGCACTCCCCTCATTTCCCACTTGCCTCCATTCCTCCTCCAGCACAGCCTGGGACTGGCCTCCTCCCAGCAGAAAAACTTTCATGTTTCTCACATCTGCTGCATCTTCCCCAGCCCATACCAAGGGGTATACAAAAAAACAAATTAGGCTAACCGATTTGCTGTCAGGTTTGAGCCATCAAATCAGAGCCCTGAGGCAACATCACTGAAAAACGGCTAGCACAAAATCTCTTTTCTCTCCTGATTGTCCCTGCAAGTCTCTGGCAAGCCAACGGAGGCCTCTTGTGGAATCACAGCACTTTTACTGCAATCAAATCCAATGGCCATGCTAAACTATCAGAGAAGACTTCATTAGACCGATGTTTTCCTTACCTCCCTTTATAAACTTTCAAATGCTTCTTCTCTTTCTCCAAAAAGAGGGAAACTTTTGGGGAAAAAACTCTAAAAGGGGGTTATTTTTCCTGGATTAAATAAACTGCTCCAGAGGTGCTTCAAAACATTTCACTTCTCTGTGAGTGGGTACTCATTACCTGATATTTTAACTGTTTCACACCAAGCCAGACACCTCAGAGATTATAGAAATCAACACAGTGTCTCTAAGTCAAGAGACCAAAATTTCCACTTACACCCGCTGAAGATGTGAGCCCATGCCTCTGAACGTACTACTATACTGGAATCCATCTGCCTTGAACCCATGCTTCCAGACAAACAAAAACACTAGTAGAGACACTTCTTCAAATCATGTTTGTATTGTCCTACAAGCCCAAAATTTCATGCAGTTGTTACCTTATTTGCACGCTTATTAGTAATTTATGGCCCTTTTACGAAAGGGTCTATACAAAAGCTTCCACCCAAAGTTCTGACACTGAAGTATCTTTTCAGTGCTCTGGCTTTTTCTAAATTCTTTCAGACTCACACACACCTTCCTTAGCACAGGTCTGTTCACTCCCCACAAGGCCCCTCTTTGTCATTCAATGCAAGACAAGCCTTCCATAGCTCAGATTCCCAGGGAATAAGATTTCCAAATGCCTCACACAACTTCTGACTTTGTAGGCCAGTTCATTCCTCCAACAGCAGGACACAAGAAGGGCAACAGCAGAAGATAATATCATACAAATTACTGTGAATTCTAGCCTATAAAAAATGGGATGCCTCACCATGGAACCTAGACCACAGATCTACAAAGGCATCATACATTCTTCTAGATGCTGCTGCTAAACACAAGAACAGAGATAAAAGAATCAAAAGAAAATCAACAAAATTGAAATAAGACTGAAACAAAATGGAAAGTATTCCACACTCCTCACTAGGGAGCCACTAGGAAATGTACTTAAAACAAATGTATTTACCCTGTTGTAAAGCAACAATTTGATGAGGTTTTTTAAAATTTTTTTAATAAAATTCTCCTGGGAAACTTATGGACCTGTCCTGCTAGATGCTAAGCTCCCATCACATGTATTGAAAATAGCAGAAGACAAAGATGTCCAGTCCTTCCATACTGCTACTTTTGCATTCAGTGCTGACCATAAATACAAATTTAATCTGATCTAAAACTCAAGCAGCTCCCTTCAACCTTATTTTTAGGTCCTCAGTTTAGACTACACACATATGCACCCATAAGCAGAGAAGATACCTTACGGTCCTGAAGTTTAATTATGGATGTTGTTCTGTACCTTACTAAATGTAAATGAGAAAAGGAGTTTTGTGGTGGACTATTTCATAACAAGCAACCATCCAAATATGAAGAACCATTCAATGAACATTTAAACAAAGACTCACAGACTTACCTTCTGACTCTGGCAGTCAGCTGTGGGAGTGAAGCATGCTGCTAAGAAGAAAAACAGCAACCCAGGAGGATGCATTTTCATGCTCTTACAGGCAGGACCCTTTCCACAAAAGGGGTGGCGATAGACGCTGCAATTTCTGTAAGATAAGACCGCCCACTAAGAATCAGATCCAAGACAAACCAGAGGTTAAAAGTAAACAGGGAGAGAGCATTTTCGCACAGTGCTCTTTGGCTGCAAAGTCTTCAGAAGTGGTTCTGCTACTTCTAGCATTACGTCTGAATCAATACCACCTTTTTCTTTCTATTCTTTTTTTAAATGCACAAGCAGAACTCCTTAGTAAAAGGTTTACTCAAAACAGGAACATCTACGGATTTCCTTTTACATATCAGTTCAAAACAGAAGGAAGGAAATCCTTAGTTTTCAACTAATTGGAATGAAAAGAGGTTAACTGTATGCTTAACTGAAGGCAAATCCAATGGGCAAACTTAAATACCATGAATTCATTAAGGGTAAGTTAATTTCCTTTTACCACTGATGTTAATATGTCCACAACATCTCAAACAGAAGGTAGACCTGACCATTGCCTATCCCAAAGTATGCATGAACAAAGCAATGTGAGTGATGTGCTGCACTTCAGAGCAATAATGTAAGCACATCCTATCAATCAATCAAGCACTTTGGGTAGGCTTTGATATTTATTTAAAATATTTGAGTTTCTCAGCAAGAAAAGCATCACATTTTTCAGGTACTATGGCAGCAGTGGCAAAATAACATCATTTTCCAAACACTCTGCTGACAGTTTG